GTGTGCTGCATGCTGATCATTCGCATAAATTTTCATTGCAAGCAAACAAGCGTGTTGATCGAGTGCAAGTGCACTGAGGGAGGCGAAAAGGAAAAGTTGGTTAAGGTGGAGGACAGGTTTTGGAAAGTATTATAACTTGCGCTATCGAGTGTTTTAATAAAGTTTTAGTTATATTAGTGTAAGTATGTATGTGTGTAATATTTATTAGTGAAAACATGGCTTTGTGTAATAACTTGGATGAACTTGCAGTGAATTTTAAGTCACTTTTTTTTATGTCACAAAATTTATGTTTTTTTTGCTATACCCACAAACCTTTTTTTTGCGTGGGATTGATCTCTAAGTAAAAAAGTGATTTATTTGTTGTTCTTAGTAAACCTCCAAATTTGAAATATCTGGCCTCGAATTTCGAAATTGACCTTATCGAAAGCATCATTATTAATTACAGTATGCTAAGAAAGTAGACATATGGTCACAGTTTCCCTTTAATTTCAATAGTGTATAACGTTTTTCGGATTCGGGTGAGTATTGTTGTAGTATAATATAAAAGCTTCTTTTTTGAGTTTTCCTTCATTGTTAAGTCCCTTACGGACTACAGGGTCGTTGTGTGACAGAAAGGGTTAGAAAAGAATACACTTGCTAAAACACCCGAGAGCATTCAACGGATCTCGCGCATCGGCACGTATAATGCACTAAGGACCACGCTAAACACGGCACTCATTGTCGTCGCCGTCGACATTAGCCTCAGAACAGCTGAAAATCTAAATGAACATGTACCTGAACACTTCGAAATCCTCGGATGCTTTGATTTCATACCGGTCCATTTACATCTAAGAGACGCCGAACATAGCTCTGACAGTTTTTGCTCTGCTATCAAACCTGCGTAGAAGATGTGGATAGGAAGAAGCCGCTGGAGCATATGGAAACGACCTCTTTGCATGCCCAACGAACCCAACCCCTTCGAAAAAGCATGTTTTCTGGGTCTCCCGTTATATGATTTGGATGTAAACTAACTTAAACTCTGCCAGCTACACAGGTATTAGATAACGGCAACAACAACAACAGGCGCTTACTTACGTAATGTCGGAATATTTTACGGAAATATAAGGATTTCTATATCAAGTGGTCTCACGAATAGATTTGAGGTCTGGAAGTGGTAACTTCATGTATCAAACTATAATCTTTTAAGTTACAGCACACTGCAGAACGAATATATAGCACTGAAGTTGTAATGAGCTCCCAAGGAAAATTCCCTTCGTAGCCGAAACTAAATAAAATGTCTAAGGTTTTTTACTCTTTGATATCCAGAACAAAGGAAGAAGAAACCACAAGGTATTCAGCCCAATCAAAGCCAACGCTGTTAGGTTAAAAACCATACCGGTTGTTAGTTGAAGAAGTTGCTTAAAGGAAGTGGAAGTATGTTTAAATCAACACATTTTACTATCCCGCTTTTGCAAAATCAAACCAAAAACACCGTAGACGTCAGGCCTTCACAGGTCTAGGTGGCGTACTTATTTCCAATAATCGGATGTGCTGGGTTATGAGGCTTTGTCGACACTTGACATCCAATTATAGGAGCTTCCTACAAACAGACTGCCTTTGGTGATCCATCTGTGATCTCATATCATGACCTAATATTACTTAACTTAAAACTGATCACATAATTATTGTTACTGGCGAAATGATAATATTCCCTTATTGATCTTGTAACCTAAAAGTCATGTGTGAGTGTTAGCGATCAAAGAACCAAGAACAAAGAAACTTGGAATAAATAAGAGTGGTGATATGAAGGAGTAATATTTTTTTTTGTTTTTGGGAATCAAAACAAAACACTGTGGGTGCACCTGAAATAAACAATAATAAATTCGAACAGAATTGGATATGAATGCAAAGGTGGAATGTCGAAGATATGCGTTTGCTCATCCAAGTGCAATTACTTATACAATCGTTACCGGCTGACGAGAGGGATTTTATTGCATTTTGATGTGCAGTAAAATTGCGGTATTATTGGAGGCTAATATTGATGTGTGCTTTTCGAAGTTTATTTATTTGCACAGAGCTTTTTTGTTTATTGTTATTTTACTTATGAATGTCATAGTTGCGTGCATGTCTGTGAGTGTGTATAAAAGCTTAATTAACATTTCTCATTGCACTTTAACATTTCATCAATTCCTCTCCAGAGCGATATGTCAAAGCGAACGCAATATAAATTCGAAAATATTGTGCTTGGCTGTGTGTATGTGTGTGTGTGAAAAAATTATTGCAAAAAATTTCGTATGCAGGCCAATAAAGAGGAAATTTAAGCAACAACAACAACAAAATGCGCACCAAATGCAAACACATAGAGGTAGAACAAAGAGATAGCGGTAAAAAAATACAGGTATAGCATAAAAACAGCAGTAGTGAAAATTATGAAAAGAGTGAGAAAAAAAGGGAAGAAGAAGAGTAGCAGAGCAAAGCATGGAAAAACGCAGGTGAACAATTATAGTTTTGGTGTGTGAGTGAAGTATGTGTGTGTGTATGTGGCGCTTGTGCTGTGTTGTTCTTTCATTTGAACACCGTTAAACTGCGTCATATTTTCGTGCATTCTTTTCATTTTAGTGAAGGGAAATGCCAGCAGGTGCATGTGTTTTTTTTAAACTGTACGAGTGCTTGTGTGTGTTCATGTGCATATTATTTTTTAGCAGGCTTGGGAAAAATGCATTTTTATAGGTAATTGAAATAGCGTGAAGTTTAAATGCGAAAATATTTTTTAAGAGTTGCGAATCACTCAGTGCAAATTAAAAAAACTTAGTTATTGTGAATAGCGTGCAAATTCATTTTGATATTATTATTTGTTTTTAACCTTTTTTAATTTTTTTTTATTATATTAATTTTCATATTTTTGACATGTGCAATTACTATTGGCTTTTGTTGTGTAGCATTGCTGAAAATTCTTCAAATTAATTGTTATTAAATGTGCATATGATAAATTGGCGCTAAAGTGTGCTATAAAAGGTAGTCAATATATTTTAATATATTATTAGTGGTTTACTTTTAAATACCACTTGTTGTAGAAAAGCTCTAACTAAAAGCATATCGAGCCGCATTGTGTGTGGCTTTAGTGGCGGGAGAGTTTGGCCGAAGTAATCTCAATGAGGCGTAATAATCAATTTTATGCAACATAAAAGTAAACAAAAATATATATAATTTAAAAATATTCCCAAAAAGTTAAAAACTTTATTTTAAGGGTTTAGGGGTAGTCAGAATTTTCAAAAAATCAAATCTTAAAAATATTCCCTGAAAATTTCAAGTTCATCCGATAATTACTTTTTGAGTTATTTGACAAATAACAAAGAGCAAGAAGAGAATATGGATTTTGAACTGGTGAAAACTGTAACTCGCAAACCGCTCAGTAGATTTTAATGAAATTTATACAGCTTTTAGAATATATAATTAAATCGGGCCTGATCGAAAGATTTTTTTTTCGATTTCGATTTTTTAAGTCCGATTTTGCTAGACCAATTCACTATTAATTTTTTCTTAAAAATCTTGAAACAAATTTCCTGAGGCCGCTATTTTGTTAATTAAAAAAAAAAAAACGTCGATCAGGCCCATTATCTATTTATAAAACTAATTTTTTCCATCCGATTGATTTTAGATGAATCTCCAAGGACTTATGATTGTCAATGGAAGGACATATTTTTGGAACTGGGTCAACACAGACAGCTATTACTTTGGAAATTAAAATGTTTTTTTTTTTTTTGAAATTATTTTCGTGACTTAAAGTCAAAACGTTATATAGTAATGCCATATTACTGCTTTAGTGAAGTAACATGATTTAAAAATCAAAAAAAAAATTACTGAATTTTCTCATTTTTTCGTACCTCTGACTACCTTTAACCCCTTAAATAAAATATTTTTATATATATATATAAATTCAACAAATGAAAGTTTCAAGTACGGAATTTGTTAGTTTTAATTTGCTAAGAGCATTCACAAAAATATTTAATAAAAACTTACTCATATTGAAGATAAAAATTATATTAAAAATTCTATTCCTAGTTATATTTAAATTTAACTTAATTATAAACTAATTGTAAGAGAGAAAATCCTGATGCAAATTTAAACAAAAAACATATATACTCTTGTATGAAGATTTTTTTTGCGTAAAAGATGTACCCAAAATTAATAAAAACACAAGGAAAAACGTTAAATTTCAAAAACTGTGGAACTGGTTCACGTGTACATAGATAGACAGATGAACATGGCATAGATCGACTCAGCTCGACATGCTGATTAGTTAGATATATTCCTTATAAGGCTGCGAAGTTTCTCTCTGGGTCTTACAACTTCGTGGTAAACTTAATACACTTTGCTCAGGAAATAAAAATCTTTTGTATTTGGTTTTTTTTTTTTTTGCTTGCTTTGTGAAAAGTTGTACAATTCTTGAATATTTGATCTTCATTTACTTTAACATTTAAACTTAAAATAAATATTTTATTGATAAAAAAAAAAACACACATAAAAAAAAATGCAAATTATTTGTAATTAAATCAAACTAAAAATTTCCACACAAACGCCTTCAAAATCATTAAACCATGCAAATCATGGTCATATAATAAAACCTCTGGCCAACACTCTCCAAACCTAAGCCCAAATTCAGTTGGACTAAACATAAGGTATTTTGTAATAAATTTTTCGAATTCGCATTACCAAGAACAACTAAATTCGGTGATTTAAAACGAGCACTTTTGCTGGGCTTATTCTGTTTGTTTCGTAGCTTATTTCGTATTGTTCTAAATGCAAGTTTCAAATTTACCAAAACTCATATGAAGCTCTGCGCACACATTTCATCATTTTGTGGTTTTTCATTAACTACTCCAGACAAATTTAAATTAGTCTGGTGAAATTTCTGAATTTTCAGGCAGCCAACATGGGCCGCAAATTAAAATACCAATACCAACGTCATCAACGAAAATTTCGCCACATCAACTGCCAACTCAACTTCAACTTTAACTCACCCAAAACTTTCACCTCCACCGTCCGTTGCGCCGTATAGTTGTGCTTGTTGCGGGCGATGCAAGTATAGGTACCCTGATCGGCGGTACGTTGCACATTCTCGATGAGTAGGGTGCCGTTCTGAACACGCTGTCATATATTTGTTGGCAATCTGACGCCATCTGTAACGGAAATGTGCACGTACATGTGTGAGTGAGTAGCGTAATAAAAACAAAACAATTACGTGCATTTTTGAAATTAAAAAGGTAATAGGGTAGTTGGTTTTAAGAGGAAATTACTATAAATGTCATCACAAATTTTTTTATACACTACATTAAGAAAACCCTTTTCTATTCATCTGCTGGGTGGTACAAATCACATAAATTAACATATTATTATTTATTATAAGTTATCACGAATCAATTGATTTCTGGACGAGTTGAACACTTCAAAAGGCCGTGGTTCAGATATTTCTGACAATTTCCGAAGGTAGTGCTCTCAGGCAATACGGCTATCACTTTAAATTTTAAAGAATGTTTTTTCAGACATCTGGTTTTATGAAGAAATAAATACGAATATTAGAAATAAAACGCATATTGTTTATAGTTGTGACCAAAAATTTAGCTATATTATAAAAATAAGATATATATAGTTGATATAGAATCATTTCAACATTTTCTTCTCGAATGTCCCGTCTTTCCCAGATCAAGCCTAAAACATCTTGGATATCACTCTTGTAGACATCTAGGGGAATGAATAACGAAAATAGTCCTAAAGCACCTTAGAAGATTTGCGTTAGATTCAAGACGCTATGACGATAGCTTTATCCAACTATATGAGTGTTTCATCTAGCTTCCCAACGCTCCTGCCATTTTGAGGGATCAGCCATCTTACTTAACCTAAACTATAAAAACTAGTGGACAGCACAGTGAAACCTTATATCTGCGGTAATTGAACAAACAGGCTCTGGTTAAGCTTGAAGTTGAAATAAAGTGTATTGATAAATTTTGATTCCGCATATGCTGCTGATTTTCGTTGAACATATACCATACTTGAGTGAATTTATATATTTTAGTTGTACTTATGGATAACCCTAACGTGAGCAGATGCGCTCCAGTTAAACATGCAAAGCCCCAAAAGCAACACTTGCCACATGCTGCATGCAACACTCGTACTCTATATAATATGCAATAAATTCGTTGAGCGGAAATGCTCGCAGAAAGAGAATTTCGTTGGCAAGGTCCTACGTAGAAACGCTGAGCTGTCAGCAGAGTTTATACGAATGTTATGTGAATATTTTTTGGTGCGCTTGCAAATTAATAAATATGAACTTGTGTATGCATATTTACCTTTCTCTATGATGATGCTGTCGATTGGATATCCTGCCACAGGACATTTGAGAAAAAAGGTCTTTCCCGCCACTGCAGATAGTTTCGGCATCATGCGCACATATGGCATACCTGTAAGTGAAAAAGAGAATATACCATATATTTGAGTAACCTTGCAGGTATGTAAAAAACCTTAGCAAACAAATAAAAAAAATATCATTTCCCACAAAGTTTTCAGGTATTTTAGCGCATCCTGTCAATCCGTCTGGGGTGTCATATGTGCTTTTATTAATATTTGTATGTATGCGGGTTTATATTTCTATTAGTTCCACTCACCGTAGATGTTTAAGCGCGCCGAATGTGATGCTTCGCCTGCTCGCGAAATTGCTTTGCACTCGTATTCGCCACCGTCTTCTGACTTCACTGCAGATATGTTGACATGGCTTATAACATCACCAAACATTGTGACATATTGTCCAATCATGAGACGGTCGTTCTGTGGGGAAATGCCAAGTGTGGAATTTAATTAAAGATTTTAAAGCTTGCTATCGTGTATAAAAAACAAATACATACTCAAGTGTTAATATTAAAATAATATAGCGATGTGAATAAAGGAACTAGAACAAAATACAAAATATCCTAAATTTTTTGCATTAGAAAATAAGATGTTTACAGTATATTATAATACTAAATAATTTATAATAAAATTAAATGGTCACTAGAGGACTGAATTTTTTGATTATCTTGAAGAGAAATCATTTCTATCTAAATGGTAAAATTTTTGTAAAGAATTGTCTATATTTTGAGTAAGTGACTGCTAGAAGAAGCTATCGAAACATGTATAGAATCGAGGTCGAAAATAATTCAGCAGTTCGGAGTTTTAGAGACTTAACCAATCAAAGTGATTCAGGCTTCTCTAACCGTCTAACATACAATACGTTATTATCACATCTAAGTAATTTAGGAAGAAATGAACTGCTTTTTGGAAAGGATACAAGCATCGGAATTATATTCGTAGCAAGTGTAGAAAAAAGTAGAAACCTTTGTTAGAGACCACAAGTGTACGCGATCAACCGTGCAGTAAACAATTACTTGCAGCAGCCTCCAAATGTCTACGCTTACCTCAATATTTTCTTCTTCTTGATTAGCAGTATATACGCCTAAGCGATTTTTTCCAAGTTCATGGTTTTCCTAACTTTCTTGTTAGTAGGAGAGGACTACGTTTTACTTTCCTATACTCATGTACCCTTTTGGACCTAGACATACACCGTTGTCAATATACGCTATGAAACTGAATTTGATTCATTGCTTCGGGAAAAACTGTTTCGGTTTTGACTGTCAACAGCGACTTGAGTTCAGCAATGCGTTTACTTGTTATATTGAAGAGAGAGATACGAGATTTTATCTCCGATACATTATTTTGTATACTTTATGCAACCTAAAGATAGTAGTACTAACGGTGTGAATGTTTAAACCATTGATGTGCGTCGGAATATCTCGATACTTTTGCTTTGTAATAACAAATAAAACCAGAGCGGTTTAATTACGCACATATAATCAGGAAAAGAGTAGCCTTCACCTAGATTCTTCAGAACTATAGTCGATTTCTACATCAGAGGAGAAGGCGCTCTTCACAGTGAACCCACCTCTCTGTAGAATTCAAGTACTTTACGTTTTGTAACTAAATATTTTGTTTTCATTCTGCAAAAGTATCTTTTTATTTTTTTTAACTCTTTACCAAACTAATATTATATTACAGCGCGGATAATATCTTATGCATAGAAACATGATCTAACAGTTTTTATTTTCGTCCGTAGAGTAGATCAGAGTTCATATCAGTTACGTAAACCTAAGAATGCAAAAAAAGTGTTTACCGAGAGTTAACAATTTAAGCAAATTTTTAGTTAAATTTTTTCTAGATTTTACATCAACATAACCTTCACATACCCGCCGACATTTTTATGGCAAATGAACTTGTCATAAGTTCAATATAAAGTGAGGCTACTGTTTCTTGACAATTTTGTGCAAATTCTTCAAAGCCAAAGTTAGGGATTGAATTTTTGTATGCTGATGGGCATATATCAAGAAGCATATGTGCTACATGACTAAAACTGCAATTGAAACCATCAACTTCAGCTAAAACAACAGCAGGATTGGTTGAACTTTTCAGTTGTAGTTATCAAGTTGTCTTATTTCAACCACTAACCACTTTATTTGCTGCTTCGACTATCGTACGAGCATGGAGTTAAAGCACCAAAGCAACAGCGCAGCGCAACTAACGCAGTCGGCACTAAAAGACTAGTCGGCCAAACATATTTCTTAGTATTCTGGTTACTAGCAGGTTGCGGGGCGTACCTACATTTTAAGATGGATGCATTGGAGAATTCAAATGCGCACAACTCTGACGATGACTTTAATTTACGTATCCTCTCGTGCATAACATCAAAATGCGATTTATGCAAAATACCCGTTCGTCGCTTACACTAGCAGCCACCAGGAACTACAGCAGTAACGAAGGCAACAACAACAAATGCAGCAGTAAAAAAAAGTGTATATCCAAAGCACTAACGCGTACGTAAAGCGTAGAGCAATAGCAAAGAGCAACACTCTCACTACCGCATGGATAGCCAATGCTAAAGACGATGTGTGATCTCTAGGAATACAAAAGCTTGCAAACCTGAGTATGACATAAAAGTTTATAAACAGATCTTTATCTTGACTTTGATCGAATTAAAAAAGTTTTACATACAAGGCCTTGATTTTGATCAATCAGTTTGTATGACAGTAGAGTCTGATATCGGCGGTTCCGGTAAATGAGTTAGTTTTTATAACAATTCCATCGGTATTCCATTTGACAGCGAGTTAGAGGAAACTTAGCCGAGCCCATACGAGTAACCCTTTTTAAAACGTGAAGAGACTTACAGTTGGGGTGTAAATCAGACAAATATGTTCTTTCAAGACTGCACCATATTTGATGAAGACATTTGAGAGCCGACACTGGATCGAGATCTAAGCTTCGGTTTGCGATCCACAAGAATTAGACGGTTGGATAAAGACGTTAAATGCAAAAAAAGAAAGAGTGAAGATGAAAGATGAGAAAGAAACCAAATAAATCGTCAGTATGAGAGTTTGAACCTTCATAGTCTTCATCTTGAAGCAATGTATGCGGTAACTCTACAGAAGACCTATGTATATTCCAGTATATACATTTTAAAAGTAGAATGCTTACATATCATCGTTCACTTGGAAGTTTCAGTCAAAACGACGCCTTTGGACACACTAGCTTTTAATGTATAAAATAATATCCTATCTAAATTAAATGAAACATCAATTTAGTTTATAAGTTCGAAATCAAGTCATACAAATTCGATTCAAAAAGAGATTACTACTTTTCTAACTGTTATTGGATAGTAAATCCCTTGGTAAAGCTATTTCTTCATCGAAATACATATTTCTGTTTGAAAATTTTCTTGTTGCCTTGTTCATGTCGTGCTCCGCCCGCGCGCGCAGTATAGATAAGGGTTTGAAGTTGATAATGGAATTCGCAAATATTTCAAGCATTTCTAAGCTTCAACATATTATCACAAGTGTGTGGAGCATACCAACAGTGGTTTCTAATGCTTTTAACATACATATCTCTTGTCCATCACCCGACCATGATATATAAAGCTGACTTTACTATTATTTGTGTGTGTGTGTGTATGTGAGCGTTAGTGTGCTGGTGCAAAACACGTACATGCAATATATACAATATGTCGTATTCAAAGTTGCCGGTGACAGCAATCGCGCATTAATGCTTCACATGCCCAAACACTTCCTTATATTTATATATTATAAGTAAAGGGTGTTTTTTTTTGGACATGCGGTTTTCAAGAAGAAAAAAACGTATATTATTTAATGTTAATGCCAAGAATTTAGATTTATTGTAAATATAAGGATTTGCTATTATTTCTTAAAAATGATTTCGGGTAAAACCCGAAAAACCCAATTTTCGATCACTTTTTGCAACAATTGGGGCCGTATGTCAGCAATAACGCGTAAGTGTTAAATCGCACGACCTTAGAGGCCACACTATAGGCGCACGACGCGAGATACTGCTGCCTTGTTGCAATCAAAGGTCGTCCACATCAAGATCCCATAATTCAGTCACAAAAAATTCATTAATCGTGGCTCTTTAGGGTTCCCCATTGACATTATGTATTACCGTCCTCATTCTTAAAGAAATATGAAACAATGATTTCCTCTGTATACAAGTAGAAATCACACCAAACAGTGACTTTTTGAGGATGTACCGGTGTCTCAACAATGGCTTGTAGACTATCATCACTTCAGATGCAACAATTTGTATATTAACGTACCCCTTCAAATAACAGTGAACATCATCGCTGAAAAGACATTTTTTGTGAAAATCTGGATCGGTGGCCATCTGGTTTTGGGCCATTCACACATCTTCCATAGAATGGGTAGGCACAGCTTTAATTGTTGCGTGCAATGGCGGATGGAGTCATTCGTGTCTTCAACGATACTCTGCCCAATAGCAGCAATAGCGTGCTCGGTGCGCACTGTACGGTGTCGAATTACCGACTCTGCTAGGCAATTATTTTGACCGAATATTGGACGCAGCGCACGATGCATCGCGCGAACCGAACCATTATTTCGGTAATAAATTTGCACGACTTGTAAATGTTGTTCTGTAGTAGGTCTGATTTTTATGTAATGGCAAACCAAACTAAGCTATCAAAAGGACTAAGTCCAAAGAAATATTGCCTAATTGAAAGCTACACGTCTAAAAAAAACACCCATTATGTATGTATTCATATATACAATTTGTGGAAATGGAAAATTGAATTTGAAATATAAATACGTTTGAAGTGGCAACAAGGTGTGCAGACACCTCGTCTTCAGTGGAGCAACTTCATTGACAGGTGAGTAAACGAGTTAGTAATGTTTCTCTCTATTTTTTTTCTTTATCTTTTGTTACGCAAAGTCACCGAGCCCAGCTTATATTTCGAATGCTCTCTTCTTCCAAGTTGTGAAGTCGTACCACGTCTCAGTTAATTGTGGCGTTAAATGAAATCAACTTGCACTCATAGATACATGAGCATTAAAGTAATGTATGTATGGCATGTATGTTATTATAGATTAAATTAATATTCGAGTAGGGTTGGCATACTCACATTTGGTAGTGGAAATCCATCCAAGTGCCAGACAATTTTTGGTGTTGGATTGCCACTGGCGCTGCACTTCAGCGAGACTGATGGTCCTGGTTGTATAGTCTGTTCTATGAATTTGTAGATTAGTTGTGGTGCCACCTCTGTAAGGAAAATGTGTTCTTAGTTAATTAAGTATAATCTGGCATAATATTAACAAAACAAGATCAATCTAAGAAGATGAGTTTGTGCAAAATTTTATCTCAAAATGTGCTCACTAGGAATCAGGAAGTGGGATTTCCAAGTATCAAGTGAGGTTAGCCTCTACTCTCTCTATAGAAAAATCTTAGACGTAGGTTATATTATTTTAAAATATATTGGTGAGCTTAAAAGTATTGTAGACTGAACACCCAACCCAAAAAAGCGCGAACTCTCTTCTAACTTTTTCTACTATATTATGGAGGCTTCTACTAAGTGAAAGTGAACGCATTCCGCATATTTTTTTATGAAGCGTTTGAGGACTCTTTGTGCTGGACAGCATATACATGACCAATTTTGATGACGAGAATTTAGTTCAGCTGAGCTAGTTTAAGTTTATAACTTAGACATTTTAAAAGTAATACCAAAGCTGAGCGTTTTCTTGATCTATTTTTCTAGTTTGTTCATGTTAGAATCTCTGAAGTAAACCCAGCCTTCTAAAAGAAATATGCTGGGACTAAGGTTTTTTTAATTTTTTCCTCTTTATCCTTAAGTCATCTTTTCCATCCACTCACAATTATGAAATAAAATAAACTAATTGCCATAATTAGCCAAACATCCCACTCACCTCCCAGTCGCAATTCCGCGGTGGCTTGGGCCGATTCCAAATCATTTTTCACAATACATTGATACATCCCCTTGTCCTCCTTCGTAATGGAAGTAATACGTACGTGCTCTGTGGAGAGTAGGCGGACACGTGCGCCAGAACGTAGTGGCTGACCATCCTTCAGCCAAAGAACACTCTGTTTTGGGAAGCCCGAAATGCTGCAAATCTAATGAAAATAACACACACATACGGTTAGTGCAAAACAAAAACGCCAATCATTAGGCTAATTGTGCGAAATTTAAGTGATTTTTTTGTGCTTTCAAACAAATTTCGAGAATATTCAATTAATTTGCCGCCTCCTAGCTATGAAACTCACCAAGTTTGCGGTTTTGCCCAGATTCACTGTTTGTACGGTGGGTTGTATGCTGGCTGTGAGCGGTGATGTAACGGCAATTTGTACTTCCAAAGTTTCGCTGCCTTCGGAGTTGGTGGCAGTGCAGAAGAAGGCTCCACTGTCGGACCGATCGACTGCGGTTATAATTAGCGTGCCTTCCTTGATTTTTGCACGACCTGTCGCCAACAAATGCTGTATGGACTCCTCGTTGTTTGGTCGTTTAGTGTGCCAGCTGGAAGTAATTTGCAATGGTTGAAATATGTGGTATTTTATTTGAAGGAATTCGCAAATAGAAATGCTATGGCAAAGTTTAGGTTTTCTTCCCTACACTCTTAGCAAAATTTCTTAAAAATATTTATTTCGCAGCGTAGTTTTGTATTAGTGAATAACTGTGCAAGTTTTTTAACGTTCCGGATAATTACTGAGCCTAATGAGCCGTTAAGTGGGTGGACAGTGTGCTTCTAAAACAATTTTTGTAATCCTTAATTGAGAGACCCAGAAACTATTAGACCGATCATTATGAAAAATGGTATGTATATGTATTTTTTTTTGGGAAAGTTTTTATGCTATCCACATTGACGCAACTCGCCACGTAAAACTTGATTTTGAATTTTGAGATCTTAGTGGATTTATGAACATAAGAGAAACGCTTCCTAAATACAGTAATGATGATATAACAAAGTATTTAATAATATACAGGAGTATTCCAATATATTATAAACTCCGAAACGGCTAGACCGATTTCAATGAAGTTTCGGACGATCTTCAAGATGGCCCATTGATCCTCATTTTTGAGCATGTACTAACTGCATGTACTAATTACGAAATACCATAAACTGTCAGACAATTTCAGCACTATTGTACACAGGCAAAAGTAATTAATTGGCCGTATTTTCCCAGATGCACAAAATAATTACTTAAATCATAACTGGCTCGGTAATCGAGCTATAAAGAAAAAATGCCAAAATTAATTTTGATAATAACATTTTACTAAAATAAACAGCTTACACAATATAATTTAATTATAACTACTTTAACTACAGTAAGGCGTGGCCGGGGTCTTATAGTTAGCTATAAAGTTACTAGACACATTATGAAAGGCATATCCAAATATTTGTTCGAGTTTCATTTTTAGCGGCTTGGCTCGAGCCAGTTAAATACTCGCGGGTTCTGGATTGTCTTCCGAAGGTAGAGCGGTATTATAAATTTCGCTTTTGTAATTTGAACCCACACGATAGTAGTTGACCGGATAATACGAGAAGAGATAAACCTCTTTATCAGCGTATTAACCTGAGGTCGAAAAAAATCTCAGGACTCTGGAAAAATAATAAAAAAATTGGTGTTCGGAAGAGATCAAACTTTTATCTACACTAAAAGGATTTGTTAGAATTCGCAAGTTGAAGTTGTCGTGCTGTACGTAAAACTATTTTTTTGTTCCGATTTACCTAGCTCATAACACACATGTATAATAATTCTTATTTTAACTAAACGACGTTTGTAAAGCAATATGTTGTTCGATTTTATTCATATGTGGAATATATTTTATAAGTACAAGAAAAATAACTCTGAAGATCTTGGCCAGGACTACGAGACGAGTTGAATTCCGGTTGACTGTCTGTTCGTCCGTCCGTGTAAGCTTTGACTTGAGTAAAAATTGAGACATCTTAATGAAACTTGGCACACGTATTCCTTGACTGTATTCGTATCGTATTTTATTGCAGATGGGCGTAACCTGACTACTTTTTAAAGTGAGCATGGCCCCGCCCCTCTAATAGGTGTTAAGTACATATCGCACAAGCCACTAAAGTCATCTTAACCAAATTCGTTCAGAACAAATCCCTTTGGCACCTACTATTACACAATTAAAATGGGTAAAATCCCCATATAACGATTATGTTGGAAACTACAAGAAGTGCGATAACCCACCAAATATAACATATACGCCTACTCTATGGAGCCGGGATCGAAGTTGGTCAAAAGGAATGGCACCGCCCACCTCTAAGTCAAAGCAGAACAATACCTTGATATTATTAATTTACATTGTGAAAATGGGCAAAATCGGTTTAAAACCCCACCTAATTTCAACATAACAAATTGTACATTCCATCCGATGCTTTCATTTTACAGTATGTATATAGATCAAACACCAATAAAGTTATATAAAGGAATACAACTTTTTAAATTTAATACCCTTAAGGTATGACATCCTATATTGCAAAATGGTCGCAATCGGATCGTAATTTATTAAGCTCCGAGATACCGAAATTGTCCGAGGGCCAAACTCTAAGATATAGCAATGATACTTAGAAAACGTCTCTTCTAAACTGAATCAAATTGGATGAATACGTCCCTCAGCTCCCATATATCTAATATAATATAATGATTTTCAAATCCATTTGACTTTATCCCTTATCCATTGGACAATTTGTGAGTTATTTTAATAAAACTCAGAGACATATTTTTCTTATAATGATATGTTCTAGCATATATCGTATATATGTATATATCGGCTGATGGGTGTTTAACGTGTCGATTTAAGGTTTCTGATGGCTTTCGATACGCTCTATATATACGAGTATATGAAAGTCTAAATGGGTTCGGTTTCGTTTGAGGAGGAACTTAATAAATTACATAGGGCAAGGTCTCATTTACAAAACTATTGAGCACGTCGCTAGCTATGATATACCTAACCAATTAACACATTGCACGTGCATCTGACCACTGTTCGGTATGAAGTGAGAAAATGACGTGCCGGTGGTACTGCCACTGCTTGTGGTGGTCGTTATTATAGACGTATGTTGTTGCAGGCATTCTGGTTGCCGGGGCATATTAAAATAATGCATGTCAATGTACTCGAGCATATCAACTGTAATATGAGCATATACTTGTGTATGTATGTGGACATTGCAAAAACTGTTTCAACACATATTTAGCGCAAATAAATAAATGTAGCATACAAACAGGCGCGCTTGTCGTTGGTGCCTAACAGCTACCATGCTGCCGAGCAGACATAGCATAGCGCTCATTTTACCCAGGCCTATCGGCATGCTTGAGTATTTCCACTGTCGCCTGAGTTTCGTTCCGGTTCTATGTATGCTAGTACGTGCCCACTAGTATGCATGCATGTTCAACATCTCACATTTTCCAGACGTTTTTTATTCCTTGAACAGCGTATTTTAAGTAGCCATGGAGTTTGTAACACCCATAAAGAAATGTCGGAGATCCTATAAAATATATATAATATATAAAAGATTAGCATGACTAGCTGGGTCGATTTTGCCATGTCCGTCAGTATATAGGCGAATCGGTCCCTCGATTTTTGAGATATCGTTTTAAATTTTTTAGGCGTCCTTTTCTCACCAAAAAGCAGCTCATTTGTCGGAATCGCCGATATCGGACCGTATTAGCATATAGCTGCCATACAAAGTGAACGAGCGGAATCGAGTACTTGTATGGAAAGCTTTTTTATTTGAGGAGCTATCTTCATGAAATTTAGCATGGATTATTGGCCAAAGCAAAGGCGCAATCTCAAAAGATTTTGTTTAGATCGAGTACCAGTAGCTGTATAGCTACCATACAAATTGACCAATCAAAGTACTTGTAAGGAATCTTTTGTAGTTGTGCTGTGCAGGGTATTATAGCTTCGGTGTAACCGAAGTTAACGTTTATTTGTATTTTTCGCCTCGGTTGGGTCGTTTTTCTTTTTCTTCTTTTGATGTTATTTTGTTTATGCCGTTCTGGTTTTTAGGTTTTCTGCTCCTTAATTTTCTGCTTTTTACATTTTCCCTTTGTGTTGTGCATGACACAGTCGGTTTCAACGGTCGGTGGCAGCGTGCAATGGGACAGTTGCAGCAGTCATGTGTGTTAAATTATTTCCCTGCTTCCTCCTGACACGGTTGCCCTTACTCTTCGCCAGCTACTGCAGTTGCTAGTCGTTTGGGCTTTGTCTTAGCTTGACTTGATGTGGCGTCGAGCTTGTATGCAAATATGCGCGACATTCCCTTGCAAACATTTCGTCGTAGATATATGTATGTATATACATCATTATGTATCACACATAGTTTTTTGCGGTAGGTAAACGGAGGGGGCGGTGCTTGAGTTCGCAGTGGTTATGAGGGCTCCCTCATATTTTCTCTTTCCATTTTCTTGTTAAATTCTGAAATCCCTACATTCATTTAAATTTTGGCAATTTTAATTGTCCGCAGTTATTTCATTAATTTAAAGTGTCTATAGTGTCTCAAAATGGAATGAGGGAATTTTAATAATAATAGCCAATCTGCAAGGTACTGATAAATATATATCCCATCACTCGTAACTTGCATGGTCGTACCTTTCAATACCTCGACATTTCAACGCCATAAACTTGAGTTAACTGCCCATTCAGCTCTTTTCACAGTTTACCACAACCAATTTTATAGAACTCAGCTATGTGAATATTTTCAAGACAGAGCTCAATAAATTTTGCATTGATTACTCAAAATATATTAGACGAATCAAAAGGGGATCTTATCCCCTGCAGCATTTCTCTAAGCTATTGTTCAAAAAACCTTTCGCATCCTCAATCATTTTGTGTGTCTTGTTGATTTTCCATACCATTTTTAAAAGCTCTTCAGAAAACCAAAGACACAGATTGATATTGTTCCCATATCGCTCTCTGTTAATTTTCAACTACATTTTTCCTACAAATGTATATTATATCTAAGTGAAGATTAACAGAGTTATATTTTTCGATTGGAGAATGAGGACCCTTTACAGAGGTATCGCCTTGTAGTTTCAGATAAGATAATAGATAGCCGGTTCTGGATGGTAGCTTTATCTCAAATATTGGTTTTGGATGCTTAATTCTTTTCAGTTTTTCATTGTAATGATTTTGTGTAATATGTTACTTGTTACGTTCCTTGGGCTCGTCCTAGACAGGAAGCTCTCATGGAAAATCAACAGCAAAGAAAGATGAACGAAGGCATCGGTTACATTTTACTGCTACAGAAGAGCCATTGGTAAAAGGTGGGGACTCTCACCAAAAGTATTTCTTTACCTCTATGAAACCATAGTCTAGCCTATAGTCTTCTATGGATTTTTTGTATGATGAAAGGCGCGGAAAAGGACCACATTTGCGAAGAAATTGGTGAGTGTTCAACGGGCGGCCCTATTTGGTATGTGTGGAGCAATACGAACCACACCAACTATGACGCTGAATGACTTGCTGTATGTAGCACCAGTAGACATAGCTGGCCGCCGTATGGTTTCGTGACCTACTGCTCTTTGCTCTCAGACTCAGAAAATCTGGGTTCGCTGGAATCCTCGTACGCTTATATTTCATTCCAAAATACTGTGGAATTCTCGCACAGTTTGACTTTATTCCAAAATACTTAGAGTACCAAGTCGACTCTGTGGAGGAGAGTGCCGGTGAGCTTGTTTACTAATGGCTCATGGCTTGCGGCAATGTTGGTAAAGGGGTAAATTGTCGGGAACTATCCAGCAGCTCCAGCTTTAGGCTTCCAGTAGATCAATTGATCCGGAGTGCAGGGAAGGAAGTCTCAATAACTGCGGAATGGGAACGGATAGGAGCTCCATTGGCTTCTGGTGGTGGTTAACATCTGTGTAGTCGCCAGGTCCTTCTGGCCCAGGTTAAATCACAAAAGGTCTAATGAACTTTTCGCCCTCAGCAAAGTACTTCTTTCAGAAATTGTAGGCGTTCTAACTGAACACTGACCGATCGGGGTGCATGTGGTAAAATTGAAGATTCTAGCGGATGTCAGTTGCAGCAGATTATTTAGCATCATCGCAACACATCCTCCTAGAATGTCCCGCCTTTGCTAGATCAAGTCAAAAATACTTCGGATCTCATACTTTTAGATATCCAGGTGAAAAAGCACCTAAGAAGATTTGTGCTGGGTTCAGCGCGCCTCGTCTATCGCTAATGCCCAATTAAAGGCGATTTTCATCTGCCTTCAGAAAGGACTGTACATAACACACTAAGTGTGATACCGCCGTCATATATCGGGAACAGCCATCTAACCTAACCTCACTTAATCGATATGTTCACAGTTGGGATTCCATTAACCATAATTGTTAGATGAGTGTGTGCTAGTTGAATGAGGACTGATTCACTAAATATTATATTATAAAGATATTTGACTTATATATATATTCATGAAAGGAGACTCGGTCCAAGATTGAAATCTTGTGAATTAGGAAGGTCAATGCCGACTGACCCCGAATAACTAACTCCATTCAGAAGTTTCTAGGATTAACAGTGAATTCGATTGCTGTTTGGTGTAATTGAATAGCTTGAATTAATTTACTAGACTATAGACTCTCTAAGTTACTGAGTTCCTACCGCTTTCATACAAGGACATACCATTAGTGAAGTATTATGACGTAAGCACCCAAGTAAAAGGTTTTTTTTATTAATTTTAAGCTCTGTAATATTATGGTTTTAATATTTTCATTAACAATATCCAGTTGCAGATTATTATCCTTTGTGGCACATTAAGAATTGCTGGTAAGATTTAAACAACAAGAGCTATATGAAAATGTGCAATAATTACCGATAGACCGGCTTCGGGTTGGCGTATGCCACGCATGGCACCACAACGGGATCGCCCAGGCGCGCCACCACGCTTGTGGCCTTCTCATTCATAATGGGCGGCACGAGTTCACGCATTTCTGTGGAGTACAAAAAGAGAAAGAAAGAGAGGGAGAGATAAAATTATAAAAAGCAGTTGGTAACAATAACAACAAAAACAAAAAAGTCTACAAACCACTCAATGCAAATGAAACTGAAATTTAAATAAATTAACGGCAATTACATATGCATGTGCTGCCAACAACAACTACAATTATGAATTTCTTTGTTTGTTTATTTGCACTCACAGGCGCTTTTGAGTGCTTTTCAAAGGCCTCAAGCGCATACTTATTGCAAGCGTTCACGTCTAGTTTGCTTTTGGTATTTGGCTTCGAAGCTATCGCTAATTAATTTGACGATGTAATTAACACACCGCAACATTACAAATCCCACACGCGATTGGCGAAGCTTGCGGTCACCTCTGTACAGTGTTGTGCAAATCATTAGTAACATTTTCACATATTTGATTCTCCGCTGTTTGAAAAGGGGGATCCACTTGCTAGTGAGGTGCTTTTAATAGCCTAGGACTATTCCCTAACTGAGAAATATTCTTTATTCCTCGCCTCGGGGTTTCCTGCAGTCAAGATTTACAGTATGCTAACATCCACATCACAGCAGCAGCAATATATGCCATTATTGGATGAGTAGCTTGCATATCACATCATTAGAATCAAAGCCGACTTTACTTCACAGAAGACAAAGCTAAAATATTAAAATAAAACCAGAAACAGGGGTCCGTTTTCGGTTACCTGAAGGGAAGATGTACGTCCTTTTCCATAAATTGGGTAGTGAATAGTCACGCCCGCCCAAAATTATATTGGACGAATCAAAAAGGGACCCCCATCACATTTGTGTTGATTTTTAAGCCGCTTTCGACAGCACTGACAAGAGCTGCCTATTCCACGCCCCGTCTAAATTTAGTATCCATACGCACAACTATCAGTTCCCGTTTTTTGAAGCCAAAGAGTTTGGTTTTGTGTTGAACGAGAGCAAGACAGAGTACCTGGAGGCTACAGATTCCTCGCCTCTTGGGAACTTAGTTACTGTTGGCAACTATAAATTTGAAAAGTGAAGGACTTTGTACAAGTATATCTATGAATAAACACCAGTATTCTAAGCTTGGAGATCAAGAACAGAATACCTCTTGCCAACAGGTACTTTGGGTTCGGTAGGCAACTGAGGAGCAGATCGCTTTCTCGACGAACAAAAATTATGTCTATAGGTCTCTTATCATTCCTGTCCTTTTATAAGGCGCAGAACCATAGACGATGACGAACCGAGATAAGAAGCACTTGGATTATTCGAGAGATCTGTTCTCCGGAAGGTCTTTGGCGCCGCCTGCGTTGGCGGTGAATATCGAAGAAGATTAAACTACAAACTGTATGAACTTTACGGCGACGTCGATATAGTTAAACGCCTTAAAATTCAACGAATGAGCTGGTTAGGCCGTCATTTAGAAGATGACGCTCCAGCGAAAAGCTCCTTAATTTGAGACCCATGAGTGGAAAACGGAATCAAATGTGCCCACTTTTCGAATAAAAGGACTAAGTGCATAGCAATCTGTCTGCACTTGGGATGTACAATTGGCGTCACATCGCAAAGGATACAGTCAACTGGTGAAAATTTTTGTTATCGGCCCAAGCCGACACATGGTTGTAGTGCTAAAAAAGGAAATAAATTATAAGTTCTGAATGAATCCATTCATCCGATTATATAAAGAGTTGGTAATAAAAAGAATTAAATGACTAAAACTTATTCTCAACAGCTGGTACTTTTTTTAATAAATTTATACTCTACGAAAAGGGAATAACTTATTATCACAAATAACTGGCGTCGAAAACAAATAGGAACTTGTAAAATTTTCATTACTTTTGTGTATCACCACAATTAGCTTTTATTGTAGAGAAAACAGGGAGTGATTACAAACTTAAGCAACCTTTAGATTGACCAAGATATTGATGTGAGATGCAAGCTTCTAAGAACTCAAAATTTAGAGCTAGTATTAAATTCGGAAATAAATGCAAAACCATGTGATTGTTTGTGAGAAATTGCATAATTTTGACTTATTGCTTTAGCTATATTCAAACTTTTGTCCACTAAATTTACGAAATATGTCAATATAATTATTTAAGATAACTAAAAGTGTATATTTTCATTCTTGAATTACGCGTTTTTTATCGCAAACGCTTAATACGTAGAGCCCTCAACTAAAATACGAGTATACACACTTGGCTATCAACAAACTAAATGCCGTAAAGTGAAGTCAAGCGTACATGGCTTTTGCGATGCTACATAGCCACTACTTCCTGTTAGTGTTGTTTTTGTTGGAGTTAACTTACCAGTCAATTGAATTTTGCCCATATTGCTGCTCACAACGGAGTCCTGCGTCAACTTGTGATGGGTGCGGCAGCGATAAACTTTGTGCGCATCGGTTCGTGTGATATTGTACACCAGAAGTTCGCCGGTCGGCAGCATATGATTTTTGCCATCTAAAAATACAGAGGAGGAAATGTACAAAAAGGCGATATAATAATATTGGCAAAATCGTTACGCTTCAGCACAAGTACCGAGTGTAATAATTTCAATTTGTTTTATTTGTTTATTTGCTGTCTAACTTTTTTCCACTAGATACTTAACTACAACTGCACGCGCTCATTCACATACGCACTCCTAATGACTAAGGTTACACATATGTGTCTCGGTATTTAAATAGATTTCGCCGGTTGTGGAAAATAGTCATAATAAAGTTTTCAACAAGGATATGTGCAACGAGCTGTCCCTATGGTAAATGGCCGAGTAAGCCTTTGGTTAGTGCGGGTGTTCCATGTTCAAATTCTGCACTCTCCAAACTCGTAGCGCTAGAGACGGAAGTCTGAAAGTATAGCGCGGAAGAGGAAACCTTTGACTAACGAACTGTTGACTGTTGCTCGCCGGTTGTGCTCTGGATGTTTTGGATTCACTAAATCTACATAGTGTTTTTAAACTAATGAAAAGCAAATAGTTGTGTAAACTAAATTTTGACGGTGGTTGTAGTCCTTTTTTTGGAATTTTAAAAATTATTGCAATTCTAGAACTTTTAGGACGTTTAGGTCGTTGACTTATGATTACCGATAAGTTGACTACAATTGGCGAACCCAAAAAGTACCAAAAGGTCTTAAATTGTTTTTTAATCTTTTAGATGTCCTCGAGCTGCATAAGCAGGATGTTCGAACTTTCTTATCGCCGTAAGTTTTTTCATCAGTAGATGCTTCTTCAGGTGATTATATGTGCATTTGTCAGATTCGGTTGGATATGAAGCACAAAAAACGACATCAGCCTGGAAACAGCTGATAAAATTTCGGAATGCTAGCTTTTCGAATCAGTTTTATTCACATATTGTCATATTATTTCCTGGATTGCTTCTCGAAGTTATTTTCAGACTACTTTTTGAAAAAAATTTCACGATTACTTAAGATTTTTTTTAGTATTGATTTAATATATTATTTCCGCTTTATTTTTTATCTGTCTAATTTCACTATTGTATTCCAATTCGGAATATTAGACACTGAAGCTGTTTGGGCAAGTACTACTGAACTTTAATCCATGTATAATGAAAGTTACTATGTGTTCACATAATCAAACACCAACTCGAAGCTGTAAAATTTTCATATATTTAAAAAACCCAATAGTCCTAATATCCAACTAATATGGCATCAGTTATGAGCCATGTTTATCAATATTGAGGTACACGAAATGGCTGACCATCTGACTAGAAGATAGGTAGCCATTAAACCGATAGAATTGATAGGAGAATTCACACACTATATAAGAAGATCCCCGGAAGGGACCAAAAATAAAAACTAGTCCCTACTTTGAATACAAGTGTATTGTCTTGGTCAAGCGAAACTTATCTGGGAAGATACATCATTAAAAGATCCAAAGAGGTTATCAACTACCCTAGAAATAATTTGGATACTTATGGCGGAGTAAACTGGCCAGTGAAGGCTAACATACTCGAACTTAGAAAACTCGTAATACTAAGGAAGACATTCCTTAATAAATAGTAGTGAATTATTAATAAATTATTTTGGTATTTCTCAACCAAATAATTTTTTAAATATATTGTGTTTTTAAGACAGCCTATAAGCTACGGTTCTTCATATTCACTTTGATTAGTTATGATTTTCTCTAAGGTGCCTCTTATCCTGACTCCACTGTAGATGTAATTAGGTTAATACATAATGTTTACTCACCTCCTTCTAGCGACGGATATATATTGAAATTCGGTTCCTGCAGCCATGATGTTACCGTTACATACTCCTTAACAAACGATGGTATGTTACATTTAATTAACACATTGCTACCAATAAAACCTCCTGGATTTTGCACTTCCGGTTCATAGCGTTGATTCACAACTGCAGATATAAGGGAAATAAAAGAAAAACATTGCAAATGCATTAATTACTCAAATTACAACACTAACACGTAGAACTATTTATTAGAACATTAATTCGGGGCTCATAAATTAATTCTAAAAGCCTTTTAATGGCGAAAGCGAAAATTAAAATAAATGTTTACAAAGTGCTGACAAGTTTAATATTAATTACAAAAATGTGCTATACAGTAGTGTATGAAATAATAGAAACACTTTGGTAGCATTAATACCAAATTTTTGTTGTCCAATTAGAATGAATTATGAGTGAACTATTCCCACGTAGACTTTACCCGAACCCTAACTGTCGACTCGGCAGTTTTCTTCAAACTTGCATTTGATTTGTGAACATCTATCAGAGTAACGAAGTTAGGAATTGGCATGCAAGTCTCAAATTGGTCATCAAGAACTCGTTGGAACACTACAACGTAGAATACCGTTGAACAAAGTTCACTTGGTTTAGTCCATAATTCCTCCATTATATAGGTTTAATTTGAATGACTGCTAAAATTTACGTACTGCAAGTTGTTCGAGTTTTCTAAAGCTGTGATAAATATCAAGTTCCGGTTCAGCTACACTCTAAATCCTAAGATGTGAGTAAATTGACAGAAGTTTCTTGAAAAATTGTCATTGCACTCGAAATGTCGTTGGTCTCTTGATAAATATTATATTTCACTTCAACCTTTATAAGCACATATTCATATTGGTTGGTTAAAAAGGAAGGCGCATGAGCCCCAGACCGCAGGCGGCCGCACGTATGCCTATTGTGCTCCCGGGTGGTACCCAAAGTAAGCGTTTACAAGAACTCTGTGATTTTCTATTTTTTTTCCACCCCAGCTGCCCGATTTTTCTTAAATTGGACCATTGAAAACCGTCGAATATATTCCGTCTCATCCGATTGAATGCTGGGCATTCGCAAAGATATGCTCACATGCTCTGCATTCCGCCGAATACACTTTTTAAATTTTCAAAAGGGTGATGACCCATAAAATATTACTAGGATCCCTTTTACATAGTCCACCATCAACACTGCCCCAAAGTAACTTTGCAGTATGCCCTATGTTGCTAGTGTTCCAAGACTTGGGGTGTTCCTCTATGGTCCATTGCTTCAGACAAGGACCTTGAAATAGCTGAATGGTCAGGGGCAGCTTACGGGAATTGTGTTCCTAGCTGCCCCGAGCCGGCCAACTCGTCTGCGTTTTTATTTCCTTCTATTCCTATGTGACTGGCTACTCAGGAGAATGATGTTAACCGAGTTACTTACTGAGAGTCTAGTTATTGCCTGCTTATTTAACCGAACCCAGTGAAACTTAGTATTGGTGTTACGGGTAGTCTTAATTGCCGAATTTAGCCCGAGTTAGCAAGGTCGAGTACGATACCAAGCAAGGTCGAGTACGATACCATGCACGTAAAAGCATGATCGGGCTGACGGTAAGTATTGACTCATACTTCACTTGAATAAGTACATATTAGGGGATAATCTTCAGAGCCAATGTTGACGGAGTTTTCATTGCACGCGTAATCTTCAGCTAGCAGTCCAGTTGCACCTGTTCCAGGGCTCCAGCTTAGTACTTTATCTAGGATCCGAGGTATTTGACAGAGCTCGAAAATATAATATGTACCCCTTAAAGAATTTTTATCTTTCTAGGGAAAAGACAGATTTATGTTTTCTCCGATTTGACAGTTAGGCCGTGACACCGCTCAGTTAGCGAAGAATATTATAATAAATATACGAGTATTTTAAACTGTATGATCTCACGTGAAGCTTAGCTATGTCAGCCTTTCTGAATTCAAAATTACTGTCTGTATTAGTCTTGGGATATCAACTGTTTATTGTCAGGCAGTTTTATCTTAACCCATGTGGATGTGTTTAATGTCTTTATAATAATTCTCTGACGATATGATAAAGTTGATCTCAAAATTTGACAAACGGGCTAGTGTTTCTTATAATCGTCGTTTTCTTCGGGTAAAAGTAAAGGTCTGATTTCAGCAGACGCATTAAATCAGCAACTAATTATACCGACTACTTGGTGTTGAATGGGGGTATATCATTATAATGCTACTTTTATCAAACCTGAATTAGAAAAACTAAGAAAAATGTCCCACTTATAACACCCGCTCCATATTTTACCCGGAAAGAGTGAAGAATATACTATGTACTATACAAATATTTGATTTAAACGGGCGATTTAAAATAGTCCACTGACACCTCTCGACACCATATATTCGTTCATTAATAAGAACAAGTATTCTGCTTAATATTTTAAGCCCTGCTAATATTGTTTGCACACACTCACATGTCTGTGTATATGTGCAGCTAACACTGATGTTTAAAGTACAACTGCTTTAGTAAGTATTGTAAATATTACAATGTTAGCCGAAATGACTAATGTCTAACGAATTCAAGCCGTTTTGGAATGGTTAAAACTAACCTTCAACTCGGCGGCGGATGCAAGGGTTTACAGTTAACAACCATTCCTGCAGCTCTGATAAATTTCTCTTCCTGCGTTTTCATTACACAAAATATTAAATACCACGTATGTAAGTGCACTTATTACTTTTCCTTTATTATCGTTTTTTTTTTCCTCGAAATGTTGTTTATTCTTCAGCAAGGATACGAGCATAATTCTAATTGTGGCAGTTCTGCAACATTTTGTGAAAATTGTGCCAATGCCAAATGCCAAACTGTAAGATTACAAGTGCTTGCATTCTCATACTATAATCATGCTAATGTGTGTTTTGGTGCGTATGTTGCTGGGAATAAACGCACATTCAAGTGAAAATATATAAGTTGTGCAACATTTCTTGCTACACACATATAGATAAACATTCATACATGAGGAAATTTAAGCTTATAACTTATTTTTGAATAAGATCTATTATTAAACGATGCCTTCGAACACTAATTCAACCGATTGATGAGATACAAGCAGGCATATGGGTCTCTGTATGACCATACAGTATATTCTACATCAACTACCATATGTATTTAAACGGATAAACATCCACCAGGAGTAGGTTCTGCGACGCAGTAGTCCAAGTTCTTAGGGACGAAATTGAAGAAGAAGAAAATTTCAGAGCTTGCACCCCTGCATATACCCAGATTCACTGAGCTTTAGAGCGGACTGCGCACCAATGCATCTGCTGGCAATATCCACGGTGCTATGTGTAAAAACGCTTTAAGTGCTGTTGTTGGTGTAGTCCGCATTGCATTGGAGAAGCGTTCAAGCTGTTTAGTAATCGTAGGCTTTTCGAGCGCCTTCCAGCAGACGAATACACCATAGAACATTTTTGACTTGGTTCCATAAAGCTAAAACACTACCCGTGGTGAGAGCTCCCACCTTTTCCCTATAGCTCCTCTACAACAATATAAGGCAATCTATGCTTTCCTTACTCTCGTCCTCAATATTTGCAAAAAAAAAACAAACCAACCTAAGAAGGAACGGCCACCCCAATATATTTATACATACTCTTCATCCATGCCTATAGAGTGATGTGCTTGTATATTAAAATGAACGCAAGCAAAGTTTGCTTAAACAAATGGACAGGGTATACTCAGTGGTTATGAGAAAACTTTAAAGGTTACCGCTTCTGTTGGAATTAGAAGGGCGTAAAAACGGAAGGGGGCGAATTGGTAATATAGCCGTATCAATGCACATATTATATACGTTAATAGCTGATTGTAGTTGAATCGGATTACTTTAGTTTAATATAAATTATATATTCACATATATATTTAAAAATTTGATTCAATTCTTTTAACCAACGCTGAGCGTATTAAATTCTCAACTGTTGAAGCACACTGATGGAAGGACAGCTTTGGAATTAACTTTGCTATGTATGCAATCAATACACAGTTGTTGTTATTTTTTTAGTGTCAGGAAATTTTTCTTAAATATTTGGGGATGGCTGTCTAGTTAACAGATCTTGACAGAATATAAATTAGGGCCTGTTCTGACCAAGCAGACTCGAACGTTATGGTAATGAATTATTTGTTTCTTATTTCTTAGGTCTAATCTTTTAAATAATCGCTACTAGAAACTAAGGAGTAGCTGATGTTATCCTCTTTCAATATGAATCTTAAAATGAATATATAAACAGCAGTATATTGCTCATTTTTAAACAGGATTTTATGACCCGAGTTTGAGTTTTTAATCCGACAGCCATGTCCTGACAGGTTAAGTTTGCCACGATGTTTGTAAAACTCAGAAGGAAACGTCGGTGACATTATAAAGTATTCATATAAATGATCAGCATTATGAATTAAACCGATTTAGCCATGTCCGTCTGTCTGTCCGTCTGCCTGTCTGTATATACGTAAACTAGTCCCTCAGTTTTCGAGATATCGATCTGACTCTTCCTTTTTTCGCTAAGAAGCTCCTTACTTGTCAGAACCGCCGTTATTCCCTATAACATAACATATAGCTGCCATACAAACGAACGATCTGAATAAAGTGATATTTCACGAGATATTTTCAGTGAATTTAGCACGGGTTATTTGCAATGGTGCAATCTCCGAAGAAATTGTCCAGAGCGAGTAACCATAGCATATATCTGCCATACAAACCGCACCGTATTGGCATCAAACGCTTGTATGGAAACATTTTCCATTTGGAGAGATATTCACGAAATTTGGCTGTAGAAACCTATTTGATAGATAACAGTCAGTTGCTGTATTCGGACTGTAGTCAGGAATAACATACAAATGCCGCAACAACGTCAGCCTCATGAGAAGCTTTACAAATACAGCAACATCCACATAATTGAAAGTTTGTATGTATGTAAAATATGTTCATGTGAAGGTACATATATAAACACAAACAACGTGGAACCTAATTGCATCCTTGCACGTTTCGAGGCGGCCAACCGAATGACCAAACGACATGTCAGGCAAACTCTCATTTCTTGCTGGTAATTTGAATTTTTGGCTCGTCAACTGCAGCAGTGCATGCAATAAAAACCACACGCAGCACAAATAACAGC